AACAATCGTGACGTCACCGTCATTAAAAATTAAAATGTAGGTACAGTTCTTGAAAGCAAGTCAATTTAGAAAGTCTACATTGGTTTTGATAAATCGCACCCCTAATGAAAGAATGGCAAGTGGAATTACGTCAAACATTTTATTTCTCCACTAGATACTAATATAATACAACCCACAGCCTCTCCAATTGGAGAGGATGTGGGTTATAGTTTTATGTATCTAATCTCCAATTTAAAAGGCTGTGGGTCATATTTTTCTGCATGTATTGGAGCAATAAACATGTTTGGCGTAATTCCACTTGTGCCATTCTTCCATTAGGGGTGCGACATGTACTCGGTACAAGGTATACTATAGTTTTGTGATTTTGTGTTTGCGAGTGTAATCGCGCCAATCGCAGTTTGGTGAGAAATTGTATTATGTTTTCTTGTATGCCTTATTTGCATGAAATAATTTTAAAAAGGTGGTATCATCAACCACAATGCCAATACTCGCTGAAAAATGAGGGGCAGTCCAACCCATCGGGTGCAAAGGACACTCACCGCATCTAGACGTTGTTGGTACTTCAAGCCCTCTTCACTTTCGTGCATGTCCGGCACGAACTCATAGTGCTGCCTGCCGTTGTACTCAACGGCGAGTCGCAACTCCTCGTTGTAACAATCCAGCTCTAAATGTCTTCCTGTTTCAGGGTTTGTCAGCCAGCGTAACGTCTTATGTTTTGGGAATTTTCGTCCTGGGAACCTGGAAACCAATTTCCAGTTATTTAATCTAAAATTAATCTACTAATCTTCTAATAACCAAATTTGGAACCTTAGGTCAATACGTTTTAGCAATTGTTATGAATATTAAAATATATATTTAAAAAAACCTCACGCAGAATCAGGATGTGTTCCGCGCGTAGGTATGTACAGTCGGTGCTATAAAAATAGTGGATTTTTTTATAGTATCAAGTGCCAGGACGATCAAGTCGAGCGCCTGAGGGTAAGCTACACGCCTGTCGATACATTTGTGAGGGCATCGACTGTACTCCGCATGCGTAACGCTCTGGTACGGCTTGCGTACAACACGCTTGTGTATTCTAAGGGTCGCCTCATATTGCCGCAGCCAATAGAAACAACTTTGCGATGAATTAAAACGAGCAATACAACATAGCCAATAACCATATCAGTCAGCCGTGACATGGTTAAACTTTATCTTCCACTGGATAAGGTTCCATTTCTTTAAGCAAAACATTAACAAGAAGATGCAGCAAGCGGCGCCGTGGGGCGTCGAGCTGCACTTTGTAAACTGCAATATATTATAGATCATATCCCCTACTAAATAAAGTATACACTTCTTTTACCAACAGGGGAAAGCAGAGCTCCGACTCGCAGCACATGTTGGCAATGCTTGATCATTTAACAAATACAAACAATATAAAGAAACAGACTTAGTATTTATCTGCTTATAGGGTGTAGTTGGCCTACCATGTTCCGTTCAAAAGAAAAAGTAAGATCTTTGCTGTTCTGTTTTTCAGTAAGTATAAGCATTGACCCGTCAGGTATGATATGTTTGTTTATTTTCTCACCATAATATAGGTACATTGAGCATTATATTTCGTCGCTTCATGCTTCAGATATAATTTAACCAGGTAGCCCTTTAAACCCACAAGGCAACATCCCACGTTTTAGAGAATCGAGAATTGGAATCGATAAAATAAATTAATAAGCCCTACCTAGCTTCCCATACCCCTATTCAACGTTCTGTCATTCGTCATTCTTTTTTCGTGTGAGGCAACTAGCACGCGCGTTCAAATAAAATATTTGTTTTCGTAATTAAATATGCCGAAAAGAAGGGCACAAGAGAAAATAGACTGTTACTTGAGTAAAATACGGAGGTTAGAAGGTCGAAATCGTCCGCAAGACGTTTGGTGATATTATCTTCCTCCGAAGACGAAGAAAATTACAGCAAGTGTAAAATAATCTACCCGCATTATTTTTCTGGCGGATTAATTATATGGTTAAAAAATAATGAAATACAAATAAAAATATGTATTTTACAAATAGGGTCGAAAGCCTAGAGTCAATTTCGAACATGGCTAGTCTGGGGGTTGTCTGGGAGGCAACACGAAGGCAATGATCTCGTAGAACATGCTATTCTCATGGAACGTATGTATTGAGACACAGTATACACTTGTTGGTTGACTGATTAATTAACATTTTCTTTTTCTTTAAGGAAATGAAAATGATAAGTCGCAAGACTCGCCAGAGGTTGCGATACCAAGTCCCACGTTGGCACAGAATGCTCCTTCGCCAACCTCCTCAGCACAACCCCAGAAACAAACTTAGCTCAACGCTGGCTACCAATTCTCAAGAAAGGATTACAGAAGGAGACCAAAGATCAGCTCATAACAGAGTATTTGGTTCCTGGTAATTGTTAACTTCTTGTAGCACCGAAATTCAGCTCAGGGCTTTTACTTGCGGGGGATAACAAGATCCAAGCCATTAAGCATTTAGGTGACGGATGTAGATTACCATCTGACCTAGATTTTACTGAAACCCTAACTCAAATAAATCTTTTACCACCTGGGTTGGCAAAACCGTTTCTAAACGTCATTCAAGATTGCGACAGAGACGAAACACAATTTGGAGTCAAGATTTCGGAAAAAAATAAAGCATCTAAATTGGTTGGAAAAGGTTTCACATCAACCGTCGACATCACGCTCGCGGTGCCAGGGAAACTGATCAGGCCCCTCTCGCTGCTCCACCACATCAGCAACAGAGGTACACGCGGGTCGCATTACTTTATTTTTTAATCCTATCTCCTAATGTACTTGGTTGTTTTAAAAATGGTATAGCTATACCTTTTTCAAAACGGTTATAGCAAACAATCGTTCCACAAAATAAGTTTTCAAACGGTGAAGATCTACTACAAAGTAGAGAAGAGAGAGAAGAAGAGGTTTTGAGTGAGGTAATTGACACGACCGTAACGTGCAAGGCGAAAATGGCGAGCCCCAAGTCTGTAGAACTCCGTGTGTTGTTGGCACACGTGCTCCGCCCACTAAGCACTGTATTTGTTGCTCTGTGTTCCGTTCCATCCGGTGTAATATTTGCATGTGAAATGTACACATTGCTTAAACACGACCATTCATTTATTTGTGAAACAAATGCTTCTGAAATATAAACTTTATTTAGTTCACGTGCATGCCCGTGGCGGCACAATCCGTCGACTACAAGATGTACCGCGACTAGCCGTTCCGCTTTCCCTTATGGTTAGACGAAATATATACCTTATTTAGCAGAAAATACATTTTTTTAAATTATATAGAAACTTGAAATAATAAAATATTGTTCGATTCCATTTATTACAGCAGTAAACCATAGTAGGATAAGAATTGTACTATGAATAAATATATTTGTGGTAACTTCCGTTTCGCTGTCACGAATGTTGGAACGACATTCACCCACCAATGAAAAATTGCACATCTACTGCTACCTTCAAATAATCATCTTTTTATTACCACTTACCCCGGTGCCTAACAGCACTGGCAGTCATGCTGTGCTTACGCGTCATCATCATGTCCTTGCGCAGCATCAGCGCCACTTTCTTAAGTAGCATTAATGTCCCAGGCACAAATACATGAGAACATACTACGCAGGCAATACACGCCTAATCAAGTTTTTGGTTTTATTATACCCCATCTTAATTGCCTACTATGTACGTACATTTGCATTTTTTGCTGAGTTTGCTTTGACTAGCACCAAGTTAAGTAAATTTTATCTTTTCTACTTTTTAACCGACTTCAAAAAAGGAGGAGGTTCTCAATTCGACTGTATGTTCGTTTTTTTTTTGTTGTTACGCGATAACTCCGGTATTTGTGAACCGATTTACATGATTATTTTTTTGTTGGAAAGGGGGTACATCCATGGTGGTCCCATTTCATTTTGAAGAAAATCATCCACCTCGAAAGGTGGCTGTTCACGCATGAAAATTCATTTTCATAAATAGCGCCTAAATTTTACTAAGGAGCAATTACTTTAATGGTTGATTTTGCTATTTCTCCAATTCAAGGCGTTTTCCCTCAATATACTTTGAGTAGTGTCGTAGTGAGAACCTATTTTTTATTATCTCCAATGTCAAGTCCTATATAGTGGCGAACTAGGAGATATTTCAATAAAACTTAGCAAATAGACGTAATTCCACGTACTTTTGAGGTCGGTTTTTTTAGTACTCTGTACTGAGATTATTATAAATAGCACCTAAATTTTACTAAGGAGCAATTATTTTAATGGTTGATTTGCTATTTCTCCAATCCAAGGCGTTTTTCACTCCATATACTTTGAGTAGTGAGAACCGATTTTTATTATCTCCAGTGTCAAGTCCTATATAGTGGCGAATTTAATAATATTTCAATAAAACTTAGCAAATAGACGTAATTCAACGTACTTTTGAGGTCGGTTTTTTTAGTACTCTGTACTGAGATTATTTATTACTTGGGCGAATTGACATCATCTTTGTCAGTTCCAACTTCGCCGAAAACCAGCGAAACGCCGCCTTTGTGTGGAGTGGAGATCGGTATGGTAACGTTTAACTGTGAATGTGTTTTATCCTGAGTTTATTTACTTTCTTTATCATTTTATCACACGCAAAACAAAGTATCAGTTAGTTTTTAGTCACTGGTATAGGAGTCGAGCTGTCTGCAAGGCTGATGTCACAGAAATCTAATTTATTTAGTAAATATGTGGCTGCTGCTTATAACCTCGACAAGGTTGATAACGAGAAGATTCCTAAGCGACAGTTTCCGCACCGTGCGAATTTATAATTAAAGCTTTAACAATTTACTTAAATGAATAAAAAGCACTAGGTCTCAGGTTAATTACCCTTATGAGTGTCGTTGATGACCGCTAGGGAAATTATGGATGGATGGAGGATGCGACAACCAACAGGTGGCTAAGATGTAGTTACACGAACGAGGGACGGTCTGCAACAAGATGGAAATATGACATCCCGATGGCATGAGCTACGGAAGGGGTAAACGGACTGTGGATAATGATGGTTTTAATTCACCTTTCCTCCAAATGTGCCACGCATATTTTCTCTCCTTTACTCGGTAGAGGATTTCCTTGCTCGTCCCTTGGGTACGGATTCATTTTGTTGTATTCTACGAGTTAAATAAAAGTAATTAAATTTTAACCGACTTGAGTAAAAGCTGGAACTTCCTTATTTGACTAATTTTAGACTATTATAGCACTCCGAGGTACTGTACCCACCGCTCACTTGACGGTCGAAGACGGAGAACAAAATCTTGGGACTCTACTGGAACCCGCCAGTGGATGAACTCGCGTTCGACACAGCCATGCACCGGGTCACAGCCGAGGTGCGTTAACAGAAAAGCAAGAGATTGCTGGGTGCGCGGTTCTGTTTGGCAGTACGGTCAAGTCAATCTGGGACCCGCTTAGATTAAGCTTAGCCGCTATACGATCAGAGCGAAGATCACGCTTCAAAGCCTATGGCCATTACAACTGCCATGGGATGAGCGGATCTCTGCGGAAAAAGCCGGACTCTTCACCACCTGGCTGCAACAACTGAACGAGATCGTACGCCAACGCCTGCCCCGGAGCACGGAACGGACCGCAGCACGAAAGCCCTTGTCGGAGCTAAGGCTGGTCTAGGCAGGTTGCACTCATTAGTGCATTTCTCGCCGATACTATCAGGCGAGCACCGCATTGAAATAAAGAAGTCGTCATATTGGATGGACTCTACGACTGTGGTCCACTGGGTGCGTAACGACGCGTGGCGATATGAACCATTTTTTAATAGGATCTTCGACGGGCCTGCCGAGAACGGGACCCTGCAACGAAGCTGACCGATGAACCTGGCGAACCGGCCAAGCTCTCGTGGATGAATTCTGGAAACGCTGGGTACGGGATTACCTATCAACCCTGGTGCTGCGAGGAGACCGACAATGCGCTCCATCAGCACTTTCCGCCACATTGTTGTAATTTAAATCAGCCATCGCGCAGTGTGCTCATACAAAGTGTATTTCCATTATCAGTAATCAAGCAAATAAATATACTTATCAATTATCAAACTATCATTTTATAAGGTTACGGATACACCGTACAATTAACATCCTTTTAGTTTATATTAAGTTTCATTTTTGTTTGTCAGTTAAATTATCAAGATTAAGCCAATTTATTATTAAATGTATGGAATTGTTTATATTCAATTCGTAGTTAATTATGTCATTTTTGTAAGGAATTACGACAGATATCATCAATCAATATGCAACAAAAAAATAATATTTGAGTCGTGTAACCTCTGGTAGGTCATATATGTAGAGCAAGAATAATAATGGACCGAGAACACTACCTCGCGGGATCCCACACGCATTGACTCTTTGGAACCACCTCGAGAGATTCAAACAAAAAAAAAATTCCAAGTAGGTCCGCAATTGACGGAGAAATTGGTAGATTCACTGTACGTTCCTGTAAAATTTAAGGATTTCCCTCGATTTTCACGAGATCGCCTCATCAGAATCTGACTTGGTGACAACGGGACCACCTCGAGAGTGCACTCATTCAAATAAAAAAGAATTTTGAAAATCTGTCCACAATTGACGGAGAATCGGTGAACATTCATAAAACATACATACAGTAAACATAAAGACCACATCTCAGAGAGTAAGACATTTAATATATTGAAAGAAACTTACCAGCACGATAATGAACAATTCCGATCGATATGGAATATATTTCAAGCTATCTGCTCGTGAAATAGCTGTCACGACTGTGAATTATCTATATCTCATTTCCCCTTTTATGCTTAACATTAGTTTTAGATAACTCTATCTAAGGCTTAATAAACGCACTTCAATCAAGCTCTTCACTAAAGACTATCTACACTATCTACTTTTCCAGAAAAGTATCATATCGACGGTTAAAAGGCGAATTGACTCAAGCGACATTTTGGGCCATATTGAGTTATACACATCATTGGAATCATTGGATTTTTTCCGCGTCTATTGATCTACTTTAACGTCAAATTGGAGCACTTTTTTGGCGTTTAACTCCATCGCGAATTCGGGGGTTGTTTTCTACATCATAGTGTCCAGCGACATAATTTTCTCAGTTTTTTTTAACCAGGAATATGAGTCTACTTTAATAAGCTTATAATTTAGGTTCACGTCTATTCAGCCGTTTCTCCTTTTATTTTTTTTTTAGGAAAACCTCTGTTGTGTTGAGTTTTTATTACGTATTTATGTAAGGTTCTATTATAATTAAACATGCAGAAAGCTATAGGCAGGGCGCCAGCAGAGATTTTGTTCGGTACGAAAATAAACAGCGAACGTAAACGGGCATTGAACGAGATTACTGAACAATCGCGAGAAGTCACAGATTTATCTTCTATTCGTGACGAAGCTAAACCCAGAATTGATAAGGCTCAGGATAGGCAAAAGCAATACTATACTGATCAAAGAAAGCGACTTGCCCGTACTTACCATCATGGTGATTTGGTAAAAATTACAAAGGTCGCTTTTTGAAAATAATGGTCAAAGTACGATGCTAATGCCCTCATGTGAAGGTCCATTTAGGGTTGTCAAGGTCTTAGGCAATGACCGATACAGGGTTGCTCCGATCGCAGGGGTTGAATATAATTGACGGATAAATAATAGTTTCAAGAATTCAACAAATTACCCGATATTATAACTATAATGTTTATTAGTAACAGTAATGATAATTTTGTTTTAGTTAAGTTACTAGTTAACACCATGTTAATGTATTATCATTAACATTAGAAATTGATTACCTAAAATTATAAATTTTCAAAAACGCTACTAATGTTTACATACTTCAAACAGTCGTCTTAGTCTACTAACTATATTGTAACATACTTACGTTCACCTCCGTCACGTGCGTCGCATCGTCTGTTGTAAGGTTCCACCTGGAACGTTTATGGGGACATACACGACTTCAGAGTGGTCGAGTGTAAGATTCTATTAAAATTTTAATAACATTTAATATTGGGACTTCGCTTTTCCTAAAAATGGCAACACCGAAATCGAACGGCGTGGGTAGAATGCAAATGGGGTAAACGAGGCAGAGCGAGCCACGTGGTGGAGGCACTCGCTTTTCGTCGTCCGAAACGTTTAGTCGTAAGAAAAATTAGGAAAAACTGTACCAAATTGTGGCTAGCTAATAGTAAAATTAAATACAATTGTTGAACGAATTCGGTTTGTGGATTATTTCTGAGATTCCTTAAATCTGTAAAAAAGAAAAAGAATAATAATACCACTGAAACATGACGTCTAAAGAATTTAATACTTCATCCTTGTATCTATTTATTTTATTTTTAATTTATACAATACATTTTTATTTTTATTTGTAAAATTGGCACACTACGTCTCCCGCTCCTATTAGCTTTCCTCTACCTCAAAGGCTGTCTGGAAGAGATCGCTCGTAGCGATAAGACAGCCTTTGCCCACATTAGTTTTAAGTTGTTTATGTACTATTCTTGTTCTTGTGTGTTAGCAATAAAGTGTTTATCTATGTATCTGTTACTTATCGTATATATCTAATAGGTTGTGGGCAAAAAGGAAAAGAATACGATATAATAAAATAAAGGAGAAAGTGCAAAATGAAAATATAAAACTGAAGAAAAGAAACGAAGAAATAAATAATATAAAAACAAAATCAGCAAAACAAGATAAAAATGGTGTTGTCAAATTTTCCATATTTGAAAGCAGAAAATTTCAATAACTGGTTATTCCGTGTGGAACGTATCATGGAGGAGAAAAGGTTATGAACATTCTAAAAAATGAAAACGTAAGTTAAATGAGTGAAGAAGAAAACACAAAAGCGAACGCAAAGGCCAAAAACAATTGCGCAATGTTTACCTGATAAGTACTTAAACACTCTGAAGAACTGCAAAACGCCCATTAAAACGTAAAAATAAGTTTAGAATCACTAATTGTCAAAAATATGTCATTCAATCTAACGACAGTTAAAAAGATGGTACAAAACGATTTTCAATTTTTAGTTAACGAATTGTAACAATTAGTAGGAGAAATTCGAATTCCTACGTGTTTGGTTCCTTAATAGGGAATTTATTTATTTTAAATGCTAAGACATGCGTAGCGACTTGCAACAAAACCGATAGCACAGGTGATTTGTGGCACAGAAGAGTAGGGCATCTCAATCGACGAAGCTTACATTGGATGCGACTACCAAATAGTTGTAAACCCTGCAACCCGTGCAGGATGAGTATGGCGACTCGACTACCATTTGTGCCAACCAAGAGGCCACGATCAACGTACATAGGTGAGTTAATGCATACCGACATTGCAGGCCCGACACGTACACCTGGAATTAATGAAAAAAGTATGCTATCGGCATCTTGTTGGACATGTCAAATGCATATGATATATACCTTACTAGATAAGCTTTACGGAATGGGTATACGAGGTGACGACACTCATAAATGGTTCGCATCATATCTAAAAAACAGAATCCAATCTGTAGAAATCGAACACTATAACTATGAAACAGGTGAAATAACCCAAGTCAGATCAGAGCCACAAAACATGACCAATTGGATACCACAGGGAAGCGTCATTGGGTGCATATTGTTTCTGGCTTATATAAATGACCTCCCAAAAGTAATAACTGACTCATGCGTCAGGACTAACAAACGATTGATTAGCGCCTGTGTCAATGAGCAATTTTAAATTTGGGTGTTGTATCTGAATGTACGGTAGTTTTCCCTTATTTTGTAGATTGAGTTCTATTTTGGGGGGTCTGAAATTGTATCCAAATGCAAAATTTTGATTATCGTTTACTTCGGCGTTTTCTGAAATTTCATTCTCAGGGCATTCAATAGGTAAGTACTGGTTGGGGTCGATGCTCGTCTCACAGTCGTAGTCATACGTTTCGTAAGTCGGGTAATAGTCGGGTTAATATAGAGTTATTAGTAGTAGAGTTAATACAGATAAATAATTTTATATTTAATTTAGATTAAACAAGACTCACGTACTAGGCATTCTCAGTTCCTGAAAACAAAATTATTCACTCGTTTTCGATTTTTCCCCACTGACAACTCTAACTACTAAAAATTCTTATTTTATAAAGTCAGCAATACAAAGTCCATGTTGGTCTAACGTTGCCGGGTGAAGGCCAATACCAACGTATAGACAGCCTATTTGCCTTGCCTTGCCTTGCCATCGTTCGGTGTCACTCGCCTAGCTGACCGGGTGAAGGCTTGTCACAACTCGCAGTCGTAGTCAATTGACATTGTGTAATCAGATATTTGCATGCTATTTATATGTTTATACTAACACTGTCTCTTGTTACATCTCCTGTTATACCATGTTTTAAGCAAATAAACGTGTGATAATAATATTATTATTGATAATATTACTACTTTCATTCATTTCCAAAATTAAATGGAAGTGTTAAAAATTCACTTAAATCTGTCACTGATATTAATTCTATACCAATGCATAAATACAAAAAGCTTACACTACTTGGAAACTGTTTAAAAATTTCTGTATGAAAATATAAATCTTTAGGTTGGAAATGTACAGGCGATATCCAGATTTATATTTCAA